CAAGTTTCGTCTTCCGCCACATCCGCTCAGCTTTTCTGCATTGTCTTTTCATACTCTTTACTGCTGTTGATTTTCTCCAAGCTGATATTTGTCTGCCAGTCTTCTTGCTGACTTTCACAGGAGCAATATCATCAATAACATTCTTAACTTTTGAGTTAAAGGAATCAAGGAGAAGATCAACAGAGTCTGCAGAAATGCTTGGTGTTAAAGATATAGCCTCCATAAATAGCACACTAGTGTTCTCGTTAATGCATCTCTTTCTGACAGAGACAGATCTAGATTCAGTGGTAGCAGAGATCAATATATCAAAGAAAATACAGAAGTGATCAAATAGTGCTACGTCCTTAATAACAATGGATGACATGTTTAGACGCCTACTGATGATTAAATCTAGAGTATGTCCACAATTGTGTGTGGGTCCATGCACATGCTGAATCAGGTCAAAAGTGTTAGTAGTACTGGGCAACGATTAATCGCAATTAATCGCATCCAAAATAAAAGTTTTTGTTTACATAATATATATGTTTTCGTCTTTATCTACTATAACAACCGTGTATTTAAGGGCACAATATGTAAGATTTTTTTTTTTATTTATCCAAAAACCACTAGAACAGTTTTATATATTTTGCTGACTTGTGTACTTACATTATCCCAAATGTTTCGAAGAATGTTTAAATCCAGAGAAATAAGCAATTTTAACTAGTGACACGGACCATGTCTATATATATATATATTTTTTTTTATTTTTTTTTTTATTGCAAGTATAAACAACATTCAACAATTAATGTAACATTGGATGACATTATGAATATAAAAATTATATAGGAAGACAAAGAAGAAAAAAAAATAAATAAGAACGGACCATGTTTATAGTGTCATTCTGTCGCCTGCCAATGACATCATACACCCTCAATTTCCGTTTTTGTTTTGTAGAAAACATGGAAACACGCCAAAGACGCTTTAATATGCTATGCATTTTATTACACAGGTGACGACCGCACAGAGTAGCATTATAACAGAACGTTCAAATGTATCTAGTATGATAAAAAAAAAATCTGGACATTGTTTACACCACACAGAGAGGAGCTTACAAGGCCCTCCCCCTCCCCCACCTCGGTGCCCTGTTGTAATGCGTAATGTACATTAGCTCTATTGTTTATAGTACATTATGTATTTTAACAGTTTTGTTCAATAAAACCATATGATTTCTTCCTTTTGATACTTTATTTGAACAAATTATTATTGCCTCATTGCTATTATACTGTATATGTATTTTAAGTCATTTTAAAGGCTATTGTTCACTTACATCTATTTTTATTACCACAAAGAAATGTATTATAATTATAGGGCCCTATGAAATCAGTTTTATTTCCAAATTCAGTTTTTGTCTATTTTCATTTTTCTATACTCCATTTCAATGGTTAAATTAAATGTTATTAATCAAAAAGCCCATTCCATTTTAAATTAAATTGTAATAATCAAAAGCATCTCCAATTAATTGATTTTATATTAAAAAAATATTTAATATTTTGCTTTTTATTTTTATTTTTTTGTCAGAAATGCTGAACATTTACATTTTTCTCCTAAATACATTCTGCTAAATAACATTTCTGGTAAATACTGATTAATATTTTTGATTAATATTTTATCAGTAGTAGACTAGATCACGTGGATATGTTGTAGGGTTGGGTATCATTTGGTTTTTTTTCGATACCGGTGCCAAATCGATACTTTTAAAACAGTTCCGGTGCCTAAACGGAGCTTG